CGTGTTCCAACATAAGACAGGAAATAGAAAGCTAAATGATCTATCCTGAATTCACCTCATTGTGCTTTGTGTAGCCATTCTTGCAGAATCAAACATTATTAACACTACTTAGGGAAAACTCCTACCGCTTTTGCTGGCAGTTTTGCTCGAGTAAGGTCTGTGTGATCGCGAGAGCTGCTTGTGAAGTCAACAGCTACAAACCTGTTCAGTGCAAACCTGTCAAGAATGGAGCCTGCAATGAATGTTCTTTGCAAGAACAGTCCTATTTTCAAATGCAAGGTGCTCTAATGTGTAAAGCATAAGAGAAAAATCTATAAAAGGTGCTAAGTGATGCAAATTGTTACGCTCCATGGGAGAGAGACGTAATGGTATAAAAACTTTGCTGGCTACTCAAATGGAATAGCAAATTTCCTATGTTGAATTGTATTAGATGTCAACATAAGCTACCTGTGAATCTTTCTAAAACGTGGCACTTGGTAAACCCACCTTTTTGGAAGGAGAGGGGTGCAGTCCCAGAAATTCAGCTTTGCCCAGGGTCGTCGAGGTGTCTGAACACTGTATGCACTCAAACAGATGTCGTGGAAACCCACCGTGAAACGATACACACACATTGCAGGCACAATGGAGGAAATGGGAAAATTATTTCTAGAAATCTGCAGGAAGGCCACACTGTTATGGCACCACGCTGCTTCTGAGTGGCAGCGTGTATGTGAATTTTGGCACCAGACTTAGGAAATAAAGGCTCAAGGAGCGCTATAAAATGGTTCTCTCTGTCTTTTAGAAAAAGCTAAATATCCCCAGCCTTCCAAAGAGTACATCAGGATCAAGCAATACATCTGTGTTGAAGCAATGAGGGACTCCACCCTTTGAGTTTTTGTCTGCCACAAAGCAAAAACAAACTGCAAGTTATTAATGGCTCCATTTGCACTTTTTTGGAAAAGCTTTTTCAGTTTCTTCCTCTGTTCTAACATAATGACATTGCCAGCACCCTCTGCTTGGATCCCAAAGGGAAAAATGTATTTGGTATGTATTTAATGTGTGATTCTTGGAGCTCCCAAATGAACAGCAAGAAGGATCACAGAAAACTGAGCCACTAAGGACTCCAGGGTTGCAGGGACATACAAAGAGGAAGAAATCATCCCCGTGACCTTACAGCCTAGCAGACAGACAGACTTGTTTCCACAGAGACTTGCATGTCCCCCAGATGTGAGAGAAGGCTCTCCAGGCTCCTCCGAGCCGCTGCTGCCTGAAGCCAAGTTTTGCTCCTAGCTGTTGCTCTCCTGCTCCTGTTAATGCCTGTCACCATGGGAGGTGGCACTGCTCATTTGAAACAAGTGGAACAAAGGTGTAATGAGACACAGGTAACCTTTTGCCTTTGGAACTCCCCAGGGTTCTTAATTAATCCACATTTCGTAACCACAACTAATTGTTTGCTGCAAGTCTTGGGAATACAGGGGAAAAAAACCAGAGTTTAATGCATTTTAGGAAAAAAGCCCGACTCACAGAAGTGCCAAATCAGTCGGACTTCACAAAATTCAGACTTTTCATCTGCTTATGGTATTTATGTACACTGTGTACCTGCCTGGCTGAAGGCCAGACTGCCTTGAATCTGTTTGCCTTCCCTCATAATGGGAATACTAGGCCCCTCTTCTGAGAGAGCTTTTGGAAAGAGAGATCAGTTATTCTTGGGTTTTAATCATTGTCATACAGAGAGCTTTCCCGCTGCTCAGTTTCAGCAGCAAAGAAAAGAAGAGGTAAAAAGCTTTTGAGGTATCGCAGAGGGAAAAAGCAAAGGTGTGCCGATGTGTGACACAGATTATTCAAAAAAGCAGCTCTCCTGGTTTGCCTTCCATTGTGCAAGAGATGCTGCAGGAGAAGAACACGGCTGTGAAATGCATCAGCGTGTTTTCTCTACGCACCATCGCAATGACTGCTCTGAGATTAAAAAGTACCTTGTATCTTTAGCCTGTGGGCTGTACAGAGCACAGCTCTGGCACTCCAGGCGTTTGAATAAGGAGGGGTTTACTCTCAGTTGGTGTTGCCGCGTGTTGCTTTTACAGGAATTTGTCAGCACCAGCCGTAGGTAGGCAGCTGCCATCCAGACAATGTGTTGATGAAGAGTAAGAAAAGGAGAAATTAGCTGCCATCGAAAGCATGGGAAAGGAAGGAGTTTTAAAGTCGATGCAAAACTTAATCATAGTCTAAAGATCTTCAAGGCAGTTTTCACACTGGACTAATGAGAGATCAGTACCGACTTCTGCAATAATTGTCACGAACCATCCATGCTCTCTATTAGACTTCCAGCCAGACATTCCTACGGTCCCCAAGCTTGCAAGTTCATCCCTGGTTTCTGCTGCGGTAAAACTGCCCAGAGAAACGTAAGCACCCTTCTTGACTTGTGAGCCTCCATGGAAATGCTCTGCCTACGTTCTGACTCTGAGCATTTCTGCAATATTCAAGTGTTAATGCAAAATGTAATCTACAATATCCCACTTGAACAAACAGCAATCAATCTAATACGCTACAGCTCAATTACTTCCTTGGTCTCTGTAACAGGTGCTGTCAAATAAATCTACTGAATAAATCAGTCCCATTGTAACCATTAGGAAGGCTTTTATAACTGCATTTGCTGAGTGGGAGGACATTTCTCTCTCAGTTTTTTTACTGACAGTCAGATAAAAAACATACTAATCAAGAGAGACGTGCAATAAATGCCTTGGAGGTGAACTCCTGTTTACACTGAGGTCCCTTACTCCTCTGCTCATTTGAGGATTCTGATGCTGCCACAGCAAAGAGAACCAAGCCCTCTGGATCCAGTCCAGTTTTCACCGTGGATGGACTGGGAGATGCCTAAAATACGGAGGCAGCCTGCATAATATTTGCAGACTGAGCACCTTTGCATCATCTATGCTTTATTTTTCTATCACAGCTTGTCCTTTCTTATTTCTGGCAGGAGACCCACAGGGACCTCCAGCAAAGGCATCTGTAGGGATGGAGCTGGTCCCCATTACAGAAAATCTCTCTCTATGCATTTGTGTTATGCTACTGCACTACATTTGCAGCAAAATCCATCTTTGCTTTCTTGCCACTTTAAAAAATGTTGCCCTTGAATATTTCCTTCCCCATTCTTGCCCCTTTTAGTTTGAAAATGTTCATCAGAATACGCTGTATTTCTTTTCATAAAGCTCCATAGTCTGCAAAATGGATCAAGAGAATGACACCTACTTAATATAGGTTTTTCCCCCTGCGGGGCTTGCTCTTTTTCCCCCCCATCTTGCAGTAAGATTAAGCAAGTGAAAGTGTCAGCTCTTTCTGAAATGAGAACAGTGCTGGGATTGTCTGTTGGCATCATGCAGCATGGATACAGATGCACAACAATAGAGGATTAGCAAATAGCAGCTCTGCAACCATTATCATTTAGCTGAAACGTAAATACTGCTCCTCTGGGGGAAAAATGGAGAGGCTGCTGTGAGCCAGGCAGGATAAAGTCTGCAGGACTCCAGGGGGTTTCGAAGTTCAGGAAGCAGAAAGTCAACAGAAAGAGGGTCTCTGAAGAGAAGTCAAAAAGAGACGAGTAACACGGACTGAACTGACAGGAAAAGTCACCCCAGTGCCATCGCTGCTTGACACCTTTGGCCATTTTTCTTTTCATGCCAGCAACAGATGTCACTGCTTGCAAGCGACTAATGGCAACTCTGGGGACGGTGAAAAAATGGATGTGGGAGTGTGTCGAAATGCTAACCAAGAAAACCCAGTAAGATGAAAAGATACAAGAACAGCTACAGTGCTGGGCCATGTTTAAAAGCCTCTACTATACAGCTTCCTTCTGGGAAGCCTGTATTTTGTTCTGCAAAGTCTCTATTTTATCTGTACAGCATTAAGCCCTGTGTTTTCTGGCAAGGGCTGTACATAGCTCAGTTATAATGAATGAAATGAGCTGGTAACAGTTGGGTATTTATAGGCTCAGCGGGTTGGTGCTCCAAAAAATCTGAAAGCACTTAAAAGTGCCTTTGGCTCCAGAGCAACATTGACAATCCCTACCAGCTTGTGGGGACGTTCGGGAGGAGTCACGGCAGGAACAATGACTTTGTGCTGAGCATCCTCCAGTCCAGTTTGCAGGGAGTGAAAAATGAGTTAAAACACTAAGATATGGAAAGACAAGATTGCAGGCCCAAGATTACTGTGGATATGAATACACAAGCTAAGTTCTGCATGATTTTCTGTGGAAGAGCTCACTGATGAGTCAAGACAAGGCAATGAGATCATTAGTTTGCTTAAGGTAATTGAGTTGAATATTGCTAGACATATAATACAATGGCTTATTATTAATGACACCAGATAGCTTTGAGGAAACTAAATGTCTACCAGACATACAGGTGAATCCCTTCCTGCTTCCTGGAGACCTACACTCCAAAAAGGCAGCAGCCCAGGTCTGGACCTAGCAAACCAGCCATCGATATCACAGAGCTTCTGTAATTACAAACTGGTTCCCGCACCATGGCGTCAGCACAGCCCAGGGGACCAAAGAATAAGGCCGGTGAACTTGCCCCTGTACGAATCTGAATGGTGTTAAAGGCTCCACCAAGATAAGACTGCAGGTTGCATCTGCTCTGCAGCCGTGTGTTTGAGCTCCGGGTTTCCCTGCTGCTGATCCTACCTACCTGCTGATCCAGGATTTGCAAGACAGCAAGATCTTTTTTGGAGAATAATGGCATTTTCTGTCTCCAGTATGAGATATTTCAGAACCAAAAAAACCCCAAACATATCCAACAGGAGAGGTAAATTCTCATTACTTTACTCAATACTGAGCGCTGGCTGGGCCAACAAAATCTATAGTGAAGTCTGAGATGAGCATTACCTCAAAGAAAGGAAAGAGGGACAATGTACATCGAGGTGCTCTCTTCATTATCCCTTCTTCCCCTAATCAATGAGTGTGAGCTTGCAGTGCTGCAAGCAAAGGAAAGACGGAAAAAAATGAGAATATAAGAAGCACTACTTACTACAGACGAAAGGTCCATGTTTACCATCCTCCTGTCATCCAAGTCGACTGGCTGGAGGCCTGCAACGCTGAGCTGGACAGAAGAGGTTCTGTACACAAACCCCAGCAGCCAGTCCCCCCTAGGAGCAGAGCAGAAGGAGAGCGTGAATAAATCCTGTTGCCAAACCAATGCAATATGTGACTGCTCAGACCACGAGGAGAGTAGAAGGGCTGGGAAGCACAGTGATGTCTGGACCGAGACCTGCTGCAGCTTTGTCTGATGTAGGAATCACAGCAGTTGCTGAATTCAGGGCAGGTTCCTGCAACACAGTAGCGTGAGTCTGAATTTAATCCTGATTCACGGGTGTAGTCTCATTATGGTTTAAAAATCTGACCGTTCTATTTCTTTCTGTGTTTGCTTAGAGATTGCGATACATTCACATACTTAATCTTTTTAATGTAGTAATAGGTAGAAGTTCTCCAGCCTGTAGACAGCTGTAAACGTGATGAGGCCTACAATACCAATGTTGCTGACATAAATATCGACTGTGAAGCTCCTCGGAGTGCTCCTGATTTATAGGTACTGTATAAATACATGGCTTCAATGACAGAACTAGGAAGAGTTTGTTCCCACCGTAAAGTATTGCCGTAAGTCACTGTGACAGTTTCAGGGTAGACTATAGCACGATGAGAGAAGGCGATGTGTCCTTTGGAAATACATAACCTCTTCTGCGCCGTGCAATAGCATAAAACCTGGGCACCTAGACGCCACTACACTCTATATAGAAGATTTAAGTTGGATGCAAGCAGTATTTGTTCTCTGTGATGGCAGCAGGTGAAATGCACCTGCACAGGTGGCCGTTTCTGGCTGCTCCTGTCCACTCCAAAATGCTCTATGCTAGAAGTTGTAAGTCTACGCAGAGCTCTGCAAAATCTTTGCAACGCGTCCACGCTACTCAGGCACGGGTTCTTTCAAAAGCTGAGCGAGTCTAACTGATTTGGTTAAGGTTTCCCCCTAGGAATTTGTAACCCTGCTGTGAAATCGGATGGGACAGCTCTGACAGCTGGCTTTCACTCTCCCTGTCCTTTCAGACTTCAAAGCCGAAGGAGATGAGCTGCACTGGACTGAAGCTCAACAGCTTGGGCCCGAGCCTGATCTTGCAGGAATTCTTTTCAGCGTAATTCATCTGACCTAAATAGAGTTACTCCTAAAGTGACAGAACGGGGCCACAATTTTTATAAGCGAGAGACCAGAGAAATCAGCATCAGGTGAGGTCTTACCACGAAACGTTTGTATAATGCTTCTCTCGTATCTAATATCCTCACAAAAATTCTCCTCATCTCTCAGTTACCTCCTCTAGCTGCCCCTCATGCTAACTGAATAACCCTCAAATTCAGCATCTGAGGGCAAAGTAGAGACCCAGCGCAGTGGAATATTTGCTGACAGTCTCCTCACCTGCTTCTTCCTACTTGTGAGCAACAAGCTACAATTTCTACCTCATTTTTCATTCAACATGCAAGACATGGGCTTGCCAAAGCAGAGACTAACCAAATTGCTGCACACACAGAGGTACAAACACACATACTATTTTATTCCGACAGCACATGCAGGCTTTGAAACTATAACAAGATCTTTATTATTATTATAGGAAATGAACACACTGAGCTTTTTGCAGTGAAATTGATTTTTGTATAACACAGGGAAGAAAGATATTTGCCAGGGCAAATTCAGTTATACGCAACAATTGCTATCATTTATGGCTTCTTGGAGGAACACAGAAGCACTCCCAAGGAGGCAACAATTGCTTTTTCCTTATGTCACACGAAGAAATACTGTAACTGGTGTGCACATCCAGCATCCATAAAACCTCCTGTAATCCAAAAAGGACAAAAGCAACAATTTTCAGCCCAACTGACAGTTGGAATTAATAATTTGTTGGTTTACTCTTGAATGCTTTGAATTCTTTTCTTTAGTTCTTCTTTGCAAGTTAAGATACTATGTCAGATGCACAGTAATACAATACTTCCTCACCTTATACGCATGTATATGGGCACACATACGTACATGTGTGTGGAAAATACCAACAGCATTTTCAACTGACCTTGACCTGAGGGCTCGTGGCTTTATAAGCTGTCCTGACTTGCAGTTACATGTTCTTTGCTAAGCTTCCTGCCTGGTTATTTCTCAATTTATTTTCCCATGCTCTTAGTCTTCCCCGCTTCATTCCTTTGTTTTAATTTCCCCTCTTCTAATTGTGCTGGTAAGCAGTGTTCTTCTCACAATTATCTTCCAATACACAGTCACTTGAATTCTTAATAGCTTTTATAAGATTGCTTCAGCTGTTTCCTGCCTCTGAATCTCCCTCTTCTCACCCAGCAGCTCTCATAACTCTGCATAGCAGTTGTCTGCGTGATTTTAAAAGGCTGATATTTGGTTTCAAGGTAAACTTTCTATTCTTTCACATCCTTAGTAAATTTGCTACAGCTATTCCAGCTATACCTCCTTTGTAAGTAAAATATCTTGTTCATGTGGACTGTCTTGACCAGAAACTGACTCTAGATATAACAAAATCTTTAATTTGCTTGAGCTCCTTCCCTTCCATTGCAATTTTCACATCTTGTTCCCCATAAGCAGCCCCTACTAAATTGTATCTCAAAGCTTTTCTAGATTTTAATTTGCATTCTTTAACTGTCAGTGAACTTAACGGCCATATTTATAGTCCTTTACATAAAGCTGAGATTTAAAGGGGCCTTAGAATACATCAAATTATGCACACAAACACACTGACCCGGCTTTGAGCTGCCAGGGTGATATAACACTGTCACCCTATGAACAGGACCGACATATTGAGCACCTCAGGCTTCCCGTGTAACTGTGCATCACAAACGGCCAAGAGCTGGAGACAGAACAGCCTTCAAGTGTCTCCTGAAGACTGGCATCGCCAAGTAATCTGAGGGAGAGACCTCTGGAGGGAAGAGGCTCTGGCACTACTGTCTCTGGCGCTACTGCATCAACATGCTCACCAGCTGAACAATTCTTCACTTACAAAATGTTTAAAAGCGATAAACGTACAAAATCATTGCAAAGTGACACTGACCTGGCCAGGCTGGACCGATGGGCCGAGGCCAACTGTATGAGGTTCAACAAGGCCAAGTGTCGGGTCCTGCACTTGGGTCACAACAAGCCCATGCAACGCTACAAGCTTGGGGAGGAGTGGCTGGAAAGCTGCCTGGCCGGAAAGGACCTGGGGGTGTTGGTCGAGAGCCGGCTGAACATGAGCCAGCAGTGTGCCCAGGTGGCCAAGAAGGCCAACAGCATCCTGGCTTGTGTCAGGAATAGTGTGGCCAGCAGGAGCAGGGAGGTGATTGTGCCCCTGCGCTCGGCGCTGGTGAGGCTGCACCTGGAATGCTGTGCCCAGTTTTGGGCCCCTCAGTACGAGAAGGACATTGGGGTGCTGGAGCGTGTCCAGAGAAGGGCAGCGGAGCTGGGGCAGGGTCTGGAGCACAGGGCTGGTGGGGAGCGGCTGAGGGAGCTGGGGGTGTTCAGCCTGGAGAAGAGGAGGCTGAGGGGAGACCTGATCGCTCCCTACAACTACCTGAAAGGAGGGGGTAGTGAGGGGGGTGTTGGTCTCTTCTCCCAAGTGGTTAGTGATAGGATGAGAGGAAATGGGCTCAAGCAGCACCAGGGGAGGTTTAGGTTGGAAATTAGGAAAAATTTCTTTACGGAAAGGGTGGTCAAGCATTGGACCAGGCTGCCCAGAGAGGTGGTGGAGTCCCCATCCCTGGAAGTGTTCAAAAAACGGGTAGGGGTGGCAGTTTGGGGCATGGTTTAGTCTAGCCTACCCTTGATTGGCTTAGAGTAGACTTGGTAGTGTAGGTTAATGGTTGGACTGGATGATCTTAAAGGTCTTTTCCAACCTAAACGATTCTATGATTCTATGATTCTGTGACAATGAAGCAGGGAACTGAGCACGTACAGACCTGCAATAACCGTTTATGATCTTGCCCGACACCACTTTTGTGATAGCTTTCCAGTACTTGGCTTCTCCTTCCACCGGAGCACCCAGTAAGACCACGTCTTCAATGATCCCTTGAGAGTCTATTAAGATGAAAGCAGAACAGCTCAGATTTAGAAGAGGGATCAGAAAATACATCTGTACATGTACATGAAGGAGGGGTATGTTCAGATGTGCACTACAGAAAAATCATCATTTCTGAGGTTTAAATTTTAAAGACAGAAACAATGGAAAGGAGGATCTTAAACATCATTTTGCATAAATGTTAAGTGTCCGCACTTCCAGCTGGAGTCAGTAAAGGTGAAAATTAGAGATGCTGGGACACTGAAAGGAGCTAGGCTGATGGCAAGAGGGAGAAGTGGCCTGGCCTCTGTCCAGAAAGATGCAGTTCAAGCAACAAACCTGTGGAAGGTTCTTTCCACAGACCTATTGACAGAGCTGGACTATTACGCCTTGAAACAGGTGAAAGGGACCAACATTCCACATAGCGAGCAAATGTTGTCATATATTAAGCACGATAAACTCTCCCCACAACCGGTCCTTAGAGCTGAGTTTGTGAAAAATGTGACCTGTACACGCAACAGAAACCCCCCAAATTCTTAATACTGATTGGGAACTAGCAACAATGAAGGCATTTGCCAACACAAAGTGATAATCTATCAAACTGCTTTGATTTTCTCGAAGGGTACTTTAACCTGAATGCCCAGGGCATGATTTGCTGAAAAGGAATGTTGACTTTTAAGCATAATAAATCTTCCTCTCTTATCAGACAGCTGCAGCTGGGGAATTTCAGTAGAAATGAGAAATATTGGGCAGCTCTGCTACTGTCCTAAATTCCTAAGCAATATATTAATAACTATTCATAAATATTCTTTGTAAAGAGAGATCAAGCACCTGATGCCATATAGCAGTTAAATGAAATTCATGGCAGCGCATGTCTTGGGAGACTCACGGGCACAGCGTGCCAAATCCGTGCTCCCCACCTGTGGGAGACCAGCGTGTGCAAGATGTGAGCTACACCATTCTCAGGCTGGCGTTTGCAGTTTGTAAAAGAATATGCTGAAGCTTACAGGGAAGTGAAAGTGAGAATGACTGCATACCGCCTCAAGTTATGACAGAAAAGTGCTGCCTGGCTAGACTTTTTAAATGTACATCAACTGGTTTCCTTTCCCTAATCGCAGTAAAAGACTTGGAGCTGCCTGCAGCGCCTGCATCTTTCTCTGCAGTGTAAATCCCAGCGCCTGACAACAATCCAAAAGAGCTCTCATGGTATTATTGCAAAGCAAATTTTGCACCAATCAAGAGAACAGCAAAGAGCAATTCAATTTTGTTAGTGTAATCTGCGAGCAATAAAGCCCTGTTCCCATAATCACGGGCAATGAAAATGAAACCCAGAGCCTTGCGAACGGGGAGCTCGTTCCAGCCAAGGTACTAAATTCCATGGCCGCAGTGTGAGCCAACTGAATAAACAAACAGCTAATTCATCAGGATCCTGAGGGTAAGGTATTCAAAGCTTTTGTTTCTCCGGTCCTTTGTACAGCTTATTTCTTGCTCAGAACAAAAATGTTTAGCCTTGGCTGAAAAATACTCATTTTGTTTGAATGTTGACCGAGGGGGACAGAAACCTGAGAACAGATCACTGGCCTACGTAGTTGCTGACACTCTAGATAAGTTAAATGTATTTCACAGTTTGCAAATCTTTTATATGATGAAGAATAATGAAGTCTGCACAGCAGGGGGGGAAGAAAAAAGCAATTACTGATGGGCAAAAATTAAAAACCGGTAAGATGATTTGTGCGGGAGGTGCGGAAGATACAAGCTGACCCAGAGGCCATATCCAGTCTTTGGGAGCTGGGCTTTTCTGTGTTTTTAGGGTACAACTCACCAGGCAAAGAGGAAAGCATCTCATCACATGAGCTCTCACTGAAGAGAGAACAGGGGTGGAATTTAGCACTCTCTGGGCATTGTACGGATGCAGTGCCAGTGCTTCACAGCAGAGTTTGGCAGCAGTATTCCTGATACCTAACCACAGCGGAGATGATAACCCAGTGGTGATACTGGTCACACAGGTGATTCTGTAGGACGCTGTGATCAGTATTAGACAAATATGTAATGTGTGATACCTCACTCCTATCCAGCGCAGTATGGCTTCAAGGTTCAGGTCCAGGCCATTATCAATTCTCATTAGTTTACGCTGCTCATTTACTAAAATGCATGGGAATCACGATGAAGAAATCAGACCAATGATCTTCCCATGTAGTAACTTGTCTCTGGCGGGTCTTTACTACATCTTCTGCTCTAATGTCATTTTCTGGAAACCTACTAAGCTCTGGCTTCCAAAGCCATTTGTGATGAAGTATCCCAAAGGTTATTTAATTGCTTTGCAGAAGAGTGTTTTCTTTTAACAGAATTTGAGTTTCTGCCATGGCGTTTCACTGGATAATCCATGATTAGTTATTTGTCCTCAGAAATGCCACTGCCATCTGGATACAAAAGGCCTGCATGACTAGGCCTTGTATTTCTTTTGTGTGAGATATCCAAGTCCAAACCCAAATCAGTCTCAGATGTCCCAGGTCCCAGCTCCATTCCTTCTGTGGCTTGCGCTGGAATGTGCATGTGAAGAACGCCTTGGCAATCTGCGCTAAACATGCTGCTTTTCATCTCGCAAACAGCTCAGCTTTCATAATTCAATTAAGGAACTGAAAAATTAGTGTACAGTGGGGAGCTGCTATGATACATAATTACGATGCTTAGATTTCTTTAGAATGGCAGCCAACCTTAAAGACCCCTAATGATTTCCTTTCACGTATTACTTAGCTACGGTCCCATGTTATTCCAGCGAAAGACTGCAGAACATTAAATGAAAGCCTGAAAATATCTCAGCCCCCGGCATTCTTAGGACACAAAAAGAGTAGATCTAGGGCCAGATTAGGATCTGGGTTCTGGCTTCAGTATAACTCCATTAGGATCGTTCTGGATTTGATTAGATTTATTTTGAGAACAGAATTCCTGTATTTGAGGACTTCCATCTTAAACCAGAAGTGAAGTTCTGGTACACAGCTGTCAACAGAAAAAATGCTGACCTTCTCCATCCTCACTTGACTCGATTCCCACCTTCTTGGACTTCATTGAACATTTTCCTTTATAAAGCTCCTTATTTATTAGCAACTCCTTGTGAGGCTAAATGGTTAATGAATGAAATTAGCTACGTAGGGGGAAAGGCACACACACACTCACTACTGACTCAACTCCAAGATGCAATTTACATCAACTGATCATAATGATTTTATTCTTTTTCTAAATTAAAAATAGAATCTATTAATAAACAGAACCACAACGGGTAATAAATTGACAGATGGTTTTATACTTGACTTTGGGGAAAAATTACCATGAAAATAGCAGATGACAGTGGCATTTCAGTGACTTAAATGGGAAGGGGGGACTCAGGGAATCAGATACAATAGCTACGGAGAGCTTCCAATAAAGGCAAAGCATCCTCTGCCAAGATCACAGTGGCGCGTGGGCAGCTCACAGACTGATCTAGCAGTCGAATGTCACAAAATGTCAAGTTGTTGTTTACAGACTGGAGACCAAACTGACACACTGGAGCACCTCAAGTGAAGGCAGCGGATTTAATCCACCGAGCTGGTGGAAATGACAGTAGAATTTGGCTCCAAAATGCATTTCAAAAGCCTTTTTTTTATGTTTCTGTCCTATCCTAAAAGGCCCAGGCTCTGTTCCAGAAGAACTCTTCCTCTTGGAAGAAAAACTTCTCTACCAGCAGTAAGGAAAATAAAGGAGAAAAAGATTAGAAGGTGAATTTTACCTTTTTCTTGAGCCATTTCCTGCAGGCAGAAGTAGATGACTCTTGCACCCAGGCTGAAGCCAATGAGTGTGACAGGTCGCTTGCCCTAAGAAAGAAGGAAAGGAGGGAACGCCATCAAATACTGTTCTGGACCTAGAAAGAGAGACTGACCATAGGACCCCTGAGATCCTGATACACAAAGCACATACGCTTGTTCATGATCTTTTAAACATTTAAATAATTCATTGATTTCAAAGGGATTATGTATCCTTAAAGCTATGCACAGTTCAACATTCAGAACTCTGCATATCCGAGTATTTTGAAATTTGTGATACTTGGAAAATCAACTGAAAGAAGCTGATGATCAGAAGTTACAACAAAGTAGATGTTTCCAACAAACAAAACATTCACTGTCATTGTTTTGAAATTTCCAAATGAAAGCCTAATTCATGAAACAAAACTTTCCTAGAAATGTTTCAATAAACAGAAGAAGCAGCTGTAATACAAAAATATTGGCTGCTTCTAGATTTAAGACTGAATGGCAGCAGCGCTGTGTGGCTGTTATAAAAAAATTATGTGGGGTAAGCTTTTATTCTGAATAGCCTAATAAGATTTTCTGTAAGACCAAAGGGAGGCTAATCTCAACAACAATGAAAAATGGCCTTTGTATTAACCGGGGAGCAGGTGTGCGGTGGACTCCCTAGACATCGCGCTAACTAGTTTTAGATGCTCCAGCACATTGGAATGTGTGTTTTCACAGCAGCAAATGCTTAAAAGCCAGTAACAAATGCCCCCAAACAAAGGGCTTGTATGAAATGAAGTTTATTGCTATTCCTGGGACTATATTTTTATGAGAAATCACGTTTGTTTCTACTCCGCCGTCTCACATTGTTATTTATGACGCGCAGCTCTGGGGCCATGGCTCCCATGGGGCTCCTCTATAATAGATACCGGACTAACGTGCCTGTGAGACGAACACGTGGCCAGCAGAAAACAGCCTCACTTCTTTCAGGTACCAGCCCATTCCACTTCTCTGTAGGCAAAACCATGGCTCACGGTGCATCTACTGCTGCACAGTATTCTCTTACGTTGTTTTGCTAGTGGCTCTTAATTATCAGTGAATATTTTTAACACTCTGTATTCTCTTCTCCTTTTCACCTATCTTTACTTTCTGTTCTCAAATTTCTACCAGGTGAGTTGGCCTGGCTGTTTTGTGACATGGTCAAGCCACTTGTCATTTATGACCTGGATCTCTTCTTCTCCATTTAAAAAAGCTTTAGGTTAAACAGAACAAATCTTAGCAGGAATTCTCCGATTCACTTGGGACTTCCTATTTTTCCTCAACAAGCCAGATACATGCTGGTCACCTTCATGTGTCATTTTTTAATTTTTCAGGTTGTTATTCATTTCCTTCTCCCTGGAAAGATACCACTTGATAATTAACTAGCATGGTTATAAAACTTGACCTCCGTGGGCCACATCCCTTCCAAACATTATTCCTGGATAATTTCTAGCCAATTACCTGCTGTCGACTGAGGAGGATATGTGCTAGGTGTTTGCCTACTTCAGCAGAGCGATGGAGGCACACTCCCCAGGGGTTGTCAATGACACTGGCAACAGTTAAGAGCGAAGCTGGCCAAGCCAAGGCCGTCACAATACCTGCAACACACAAAGCAAACAGCACGGCACAGTCATGAATCTGGGCTGCTCTTACGACTAACATCAAAAGCCAGACGGTTCACTGAAGTTAAAAGCTCAACCCAGGACCTTTTGTCATTTCCAGTTCTTCTTTCTCAAGAGCTGATCTGAGAAACGTTTTGCTAGACTAAAGATAAGAAAGAATGTGATGTTCTGACACGGAGGCAAACAGACGCCGTACATGAATGTAACCTGCATGTTTGAAAGGTTTATGTAAAGCAGTAAAACACAGTGTAATAACATAGAGGAATAAAGTCACGCGTGAAGGAAGGTGTTTCCAGCTGTGATTTTAAAAGGAGTCAATGACACAGAGGCACAGCAATCCAGGAAAGCAAATCTAAATTACAGGTGTGGCAGAGAAGGTTCTCGGGCCCCTTCTGCAGGCACTGCCAGTACTGCCAAGGGAGATGCCTTCTCAGAAATCTTCCTTGTTTAGGAAAGCTCCTTTAAACAGACACCAACAGTGAAACCGCACAAGAGCCACTCAAGCAGATCTGATACGATTTAGGTTCTTACCTGACAAGACAGTGAATTTTAGGGCTTCTTGAGCCATCATGTTCACAAAACCATTCAGCAGGGAATCTAAGGCATTGCCAAGCTCCATCAAGTACTTGGATTCCCAGGCCAGACAATACTGCTCGCTCGATTGCAACATGCTGCTCCATGGGGCTGTGAAGCTCCCTGGGAAAGGTTGAAAAGATAGAATTCACGTTCAGAGAAAACGCAACAACAGCTGACTCCTGGCAAGATGAGTCCAGCAAAGAATCAGAAAAGAACTGGCAGGACACTGGAATACACTAATATACTGCAATAATGAGGAATCATATTTAAAACTACTGTGAGATTTAGACTCCATATTTCCACTGTTTTACAATAAATTTGGGCTTTGTAAATAATCGTGCAGCTTTAGCTGCCTTGGTAAAGAGTCTTCAGCGTGGACAGGCTCAGACTTTCTGACCCTTTCAATTGCCTCAGAGACTGCCAAGACAGATGGACATTGCCAAGACAGATGGACATTGCCACTAATTATGTCAGGTATTAAGGACATTCCTCCTACCACCAGACATCAGGCCAAGTCCTGCAGCTCCATCTTCTCATATAGACCAAAGGAGGGCCTGTCCTGAGAAAGATGAAGCGCTGAATGGCTGCACGGACTGACTTCAGCGGGACCAGAAGCACAGAAAATGTGGAGATCTTGTCAAAATCTATCGCAGAGCATCTTCCCAGCACTTCTGTTAGATGCGCAAGGATTGCAGTGATGGCTCTGTCTGAAAACAAGGAATCTGCATTTGCAGATCCAGACTGCAGTTATTTTTCCTTTGCCATCTAGCCTAGTTAGCCACTTCAGTTTAATTTTTTTCCCTCCAGGTGCTAATCAAAAGTGGTGCCTGGACATTTGAGAGATAATGCATAATTTACACTGTGCAAGCCTAATTTTTGGCTGAAAGAACAATTTTTAAGCCATACTCTCTCTCCCGTTTGTAGTGTAGCTTGTACTAAGTGGCCAGGAGGGGCCTGGCAGCACTATTAATGGTAGGTGAACTCTGAAGGGCAGAGCAGAATTTTCATTTTAATTAACTAAAATCCTTCCCACACTGTTCCTTCCCCAAAGAGTGCAGGGCAGGTTGAGGCAGCTGCTGACCAAAGTGGCACGAGAGAGTCCCACGCCAAATTGCACCACAATCTACTGTCAGATTTGTGAAGGTACAGATAAGCAGCTAGTGGGAGCTCAAAAATCACAAGGTAGCAAATTCCATTAAAATCCTGTCCGCAGGCCCTCTGTTTTAAGGAGTCATGCAAGTGTGTAAACAGACACAGCTGTAAGGATGAAAATGGATGACAATTCTAGTTTTGCTTTTTTAAACGTTATAGCAGATTGCTAGTTATGGAAGAAGAATGCGTGTCATTTGCAACTCCCTTTTAAGGGCAACCAGTCACAAAAAGGTTTCTGAAGGGACACACTTGTCTTAGTAACAGTGCCTGGGAGCCCTCCAGCCCCAAGGATTTGGACCCCTGGCAAGCAGACGATGAGAAAAGCCAAAGCACAGTACTGCAAAGTGAAAATAACCTTACTCTGACAGCAACCTAACAAGCAATGGGACAGAGCCATCCTTGTGCATTAATGATACCCAGTGTTAATTATGATGCTTCTGAATGAATCGGCAGCTGTTCTGTCAGGTTGCTGAACACATCAGCAGACAGTTGACATATTTTATATGACAAGCTATACTGGAAAATAAAACACTACAGACCTTTCAAGGTTGCTGCCTGTAAGTTCACCTCCTGAGCGCTGTGCTTAACAGGATTTACTTTACAGAACTTTCTTGCCAATGAACCTCATTAGCTGGCAGATACCGAGAAAGAAAAAAGACACTATTTTCTGTTAATTGCTGGAGGACAAACATAAGGTCTCAGAGATAGGTGAGACACTTTGTACTAGTGCTGGAAATCAGCCACCCCAGACAGACCTTTCCTAGCAAAACCATACAGCATTTATTAACAGAAACAATCCTGCTATGACTACTACTAATCCTGTTATCACTACCAATTCACTGCCCTCTCTCTTTCCTCTGTTTTGATTGGGATTGCAGCTTAGGTTACAAAGTCTTATGTTGAGAGTCGATCTGTTTTAGTTACCAGGCCATGCAAGTGTGGGGAAGACACGGTGCTATGAGAGCACAGACACTGCCTGGAGTGGAACACAGACACGGCTCTCCAGGCTTCTCTCGGTTTCCTCGTCTTGTTCTTACCATACTTGCCAGTGCACAGCCATCCAGTAATTGCTATGGTGATATGAAGCTGCTTTCCTTCGGTAAGTGGGAGGAATTCAAACTCTTCTATGGCTCCCACACGCTTCTTCATCTTGTATCCTACACACAGCAAGGCAGAAACACGAGTCTTGGAAATCGCACAGCAAGGACAGGCTCTGCTAACAGTAGAAGTTCCTAAGAAACTACTTGGGTAATTTGGATCAGGTTTTTTTACTTTCCAAAACCCTCAGCCAGTCCATGCATTACTTAGAGCTTGGTATGGAGCCAACACGATCCTTCTGAGCTCGTGTGATCTGAAGGAATCCCAGCAGAAGGCTTTTTTGCTGCAGACCAGACATCAGCTATAACAGCCGCTGCTCTCCATGGCAGCATCTTTCTAATCCAAAGCAGCAAGCTTTCATTTCCTTCATTAGCCACATACCAAATATTCTTTTCCTACTTGGTCATCAGGGGCTAACACAGTATCTTTCAATCAGCATTGAAATAAAAATTTCACAGTTTTAAGATTACACCTCAAGTCACTTCCCTTGCTCTGCAGAGCTCAGTGAAGCCATTAGCTCTGCATTTGCAGACATGATCCTGCACCTCAGTAGCTGAAAAATGTGCGGTCACTCTCTTACCAGTAAGGCCAGCTCCAGCTGCTCCAAAAAGGGATGCCATGACAGCAATTCCAGCGGTCGAACCTAAAGCAGCTGCTCCAGCACTTCCAATGATAGTAGCAGCTCCCGCAGCAACCAGAGGGGCAGCAAAACCCCCTGTCAAGCCTGAAGATGTAACAAGTGATACCACCAATCTATTGTCACTTACAAAAACCAGGCAGTCATTTCCTTGTGCTGTGCGAGTACTGCTAATGCTACTGAAAGAGTACAAACGATGGTCTTTTTTGCATCACCAATAAAGGGGCTTTCTGAGACACTCCCTAGGCCCTGAATCTCTGCACAGATTCTTCGACTGACCGGTAAAAATGAAGAATAATTTAAAAGTCAAAGGAAGAATGTGTGGTAGACTGGGGTGAGCTACGCCCTATTTGCTTAGGAAACATTGATCTAGTCTCACACTATTTTGAATTTAGAGTTGAAGATCGGATCCTCTTATAACACAAGATCAAAACAGGAGAAAACATTTTTTAAGGGTGACGACCTCAGTTTAATACTTCCCCCAGCCAGTGAAGCTACACTGGAATAACTTTTCCAGCTAATTCTTTCAGGTTTATTTTTGTGTGGCTGAAAAGACTTTTCTTGGATTTGGGGTTTCTTTCCTTGTTTGGGTTTTTTTGGGGTTTTTTGTTTGTTTGGGGTGGGGTTTTGGTATCTGAAGTGACACACTATCTTCAACCTGGCAAAGAAAAGCAGGGAACGCTTTAAAATTGGAGCTTGGGCTAAAAGGTACGATGGCTTCTGTTGCTGAAAGTGTAATTCAGACACCCCTCCCTCTGCTCCCAGTGCTGTGCTTCAGGAGCAAGTCTCCAAAATGCCTAGGGCAGCCTCACCAATCACTGTTCCACCCCCAACGGTTGCCAAACCGATCAGCAGGTATCTCTTCAGCTTTTTTCTTCTTTCCTTCTTTTTTCTTGATACTTCTGTACTTCTGTGGGGGGATTAGAAACACAAAAACTGACGGAAAGGCTTTTCCTTCATGGATAACAGTGCTGCATCAGAATCTGCTTTTATTCTCCTCAATGTAATTTCCCTACCGGGAACAGTAAAAAGTAACATGCAGGTGTGGACTGTGACAACACACTCAGATTTATGAGCATGGATGTAAACCCACAGATTTAAACCGAAACGATTTAATTGCTGACAAAAGCCAACAGATGTTACTTACTTGGAAAACCCTTCCTAATAGGGCTGAAGCTTGTAAAAAAAGAAACAAAAAGTCAAAAGCATTTCAGTAACTATATACTGCCTATGTGTCTTAAAAAAACACAAGAAAGCTAAGTGGAAACAGGGAAAGTTAAACAAAAGGGAATAGGGGTAATTTGCGATAACAAATAGAGTTGGAATTAAACTGTTTTCCAACAACAGTGTTTATACTGAGCCGGTTTCTAATTGCACGTCACAATATAATAATATAATAGTTATTAAACACAGTCATTAGTTCATTTGTCTGTGTGCATTTAAGCTACATTTTAACAAGCTTATCAGAAGCAGGTAAATAAACCTAAAAGGAATAAATATCACTTATGAGGCACTGCTTTTGCCTTCTCTCCACTGTCTTTGGTTTCTGTCTCACAAGAAATGCTTCCCACTTCAGAGGAAAGTGCGAGAAACAGAGGATACTGGAATAAGTTGTTTACAGAGGAAGGTTCCTTCTAGCCTGCTTACGCAGCGGTTAATCTGGGCCTTGAAACATGAGAATTTATCTTGCCTCCAAACTTGGATATTTTCCCTCTTAATCCTAGCCTAATTGTGGATTTTCATTATCCATATAATTGCCTAATCCTTCCTGGAACCCCCTAAGCGCACTGTAATTTTGATAAAGACAATTTTAGACGAGTCCCAAACAATATGCAGCTTTGTAAAACACAGCAGGAGGAGAATGAAGCACAGTGGGTGAAATCCCTGCGTCACTGAAGTCAATGGCAGAACTCCCACTGACTTGCATGGCACAGAGACTTTCTCTCCACAGAGAGCCTCCGAGAAAACATTGTGTATTACCTGCTGCAGCAGCAAACGTAGCTGGCTGTGGAGAACAACAGTGCTGCCTGCAATGGCTACCTCTTCAGCAATTTCTGTATAACTGTTCACTTTCTACAGCCCCATGGTCAGAGCGGTATTTGGATATGCCCTAGTTTGTCATGCAGTCACCAATCTGAATGCCTGGAAAAAATTGCTCCTGGAGTTCTTTAAACGAGTGCTGCAGTCCGACTGTTAATACCTAAGTTGGCAATATCCACTAATTTCTGTTCTACATAGGGGTTCATCAGCTTTTATAGTCAATGTGCTGTTGTCTCGGGCTGGAAATAATGACATCGGGAGAGCTGAAATACGGCTAACCTGGCTTTAGTCGCAATAATGAGCAATTTGAGTTATGTGGGTAGAAAGATAGTCTGCAGCTGAAGCCTGCCTGAAGACGCAGTAAGTGAAACTACTGTCATGAGAACTTTTACCTGCCATTGCTTTCCCTCCATAGCTGCTAGCAACTGCTTTTGACTGTTGCTTTCCTAATAGCTTCTGCATTACAGTTATCACTTTATTACCAGACTGCTTTTTACCCACTATGGTAATTAAGTGCCTCTTCCAGTACTTCTCTGCCCTCAGTGATCTTGGAAGTGCAGCTTCTTGCCTGAACCACAAATTATGTTCAGAGAGATTTTATAGGTGGAATTACAGGTCATTTTCCAATGACGAAAAGTGGCAGGAGTACACGTTAGCGAGCAACTGACGTGTTTTCCAGTTTCTTACAGAACCGTGTACAAAAGAGAGGTTCACACCTGCAAGTCAGAACATGTTTGGTGCTAGTAATATGGATTTAAGTGTTTGGAGCATTGTTCTATAGACGACTGTACATTCAACCTTGCACGTTCTGGGCCACAGTCCAACACACCCCCAAGGGCAAAGGCAGGAGCAAAACCTTCTGTTAACAAATATCAGTAAAAAACGCCTTTGCAGAAGCTGCCAAAACCCCATTTGGTTGTTACTGTTCCAAAACCTCTCGCAGTGGATGGTCAAAGCTGGAAGCATCCTAAGCAGATGTTAATGTATTCCCTGCCCCCAAAAGTCTGTGAGGTCAAAGCGGTGACAGGTTTATATCCCGCTTCCTTTCCCCATTGACTCCTAACTTTAAAACAAACGAAGGGTCATCGATTGTCCACAAATCTCAGCCTTGTGCTCGTTTTAGCACTGCACTAACAAATGTGTTCGCAGTGCAGTCTTGCACCACTCTCATTATAAATTTTTTTTTTCTTTTTATCTAATAGGTATTTATTTCCACGGCTGCAACTTGGGCAAAGAACAAGATTGAAATCCATGGCTTTCGCCATGCCAGATATGCCCAAAACCCACTGGGCTAGCTGCAATGTTTGAAAGCCAGGCTTGTGAGTATGCAGCGTAATTCTCCAGTCCCTCTCGCCATTATCAGGCACGCTGCTATCTTTCTGGGTCGCGCTACAGCCCGTTTCAAGAGCCACAGTCCAGTCGATACACAATTACGTACTGGAGCATCACCTTTGCAAGTGACACCCCACCCTCGACATCAGTGTTTTCCAGTTTGTTTCCACAAGCCCCAGCAAAACAGTCCCCATTAACACCAACCCTTGCTCCTGCATGCCAAATGGTGTCCTGTTTAGCAGTCCACGAGCTTTGAGATTATTTTGACTTTCCCTTTTTACAGTGCGCTGTAAAGTTAAGCTTTATATAAACAAAGCTATAACTGAAAGATACCCATCACATGCTGGACCCCACAGTAACGTCTGAACTGTACTGTGTCAGGGACGTTGATTAAAGCCTTATTAGCTCTCAGGTTAATCTCATAACCTGTTTGCCGAGGTGACAGATAAAAATATTGAACGGTCCCTTGGAAGTCCACTACAGACATGTTTACTGCCTTACATATTGCTAAACTTTCACACAATTCCTGTCTGGTAAGAGGACTATAAAAATACTACATTTCTTATCGATACCAACTTTTTGGCTTTTTCATGTCTAAGAAGTGATTAAGAGGATGAATCTTGTATTATTAATAACACAGGAGTCAGGTCTGTAAGTATCTAAAGATGAAGACTGTTGCCCTCAGAAATCTGCCTTCAATAGGAGTTAGACAGCTGCCCCTTAAACAGGCACAGAGGAGGACACATCCATAGAAAATGAGCAGCTGAGGATCTAATCCTGAAATTTATAGGAACTTCATTCTGCAAGAGGCAGTTCTACCTGAAGAATATTGGGCCAAGAGACAAGAGACACGAGATCTTTGTATGTATTTAAGCATAAGCTACAGTCTAGGAGAGGCAACTGGAACAAGGAAATGAGGCAGTTCAGTGCGGAGTAGCCTTTACCAGCTTGCAAGGTTGGGTTTCAGCTCTGATTTTAAGAATGCTGAGCTTCCCTGCTTCTCAGTGCGGCCAAAGTGCTGTGAGGGCTCTGCAACCCTAATCAAGCCATAAATGATTACACTAAGAGCCATGGGGGAAATGATCACAGACTGGACTTAGGCACAAGTAATTACTGCTAAGCTTTCAAGCACCGGCAGTGGTTTTTCATCCCGTGGTCAACCCAAATGTTCTTACTCTGACTCTTCCTCTTTTTGTTCCTTCAGGCTCTCAAGCAGAGATTCCTCCAGGACTTCCAGCTCCTCCAAGGGGATTCTCAGCAGCCAGATGACGTGGCAGATCAACACCCTGGCTCGAGCATCGTAGTACCCTTAAACAGAGAGAAGCCCAGGAAATCAATCAGTCTGCGTCGCACCGGATTAAATAGCGAGTGGTGCCCTCAGCTGCGCTAGAGGACCATGTTACGTACAAACATAGCTCCTTCTCTCAGGCCTGTTATGTACAAACATAGCTCCTTCTCTCAGGCCCTCTTGGTCTTCCATGTATTTGAAGACAACTCCTACGATCTAGAGAAGAGAGCGATAACTGGAAAATCCTTCATCCCTGCAAACCTCATCCTGTGAACAGAGTCACTACACCAGGTAATTGCCTCTATGGCAGAAAAAGGATCTCAAATCCTTTGGTCTTCATCCTCTGTGATAGAGGCGTTTTGGCTCTGGATAGGCTGCATCTTTCTTCTCAACAGAGAAATGCTGCAGCGAGACCAGTCCTAACTGGAAATACCAAATATTGGGTACCATGACACAGTACACCTCAACTATGCACCAATGCAAGATACGGTATCTTGTAAAAATGCACCTCCATACAAAACCTTTATATTCAATTCATCTTGTTGGCAGCAGGAGGGACTCTGGAGTTTAAAACTACGCACCGGCTCACCTAGCAGCATCACTGACAATTCTCTGCATTTCTACTTCACTGCTGGAGATGCAGGAGCGGACGGTGCACTCAGACAACGCGCGACAGGAGTAATGATTACTCCTGGGCTTATAAGCAGGTGTTCTCTAAGAAAAGACATTTTAAATGTAATAGATTTTAAATTATTTGTGCCAACTCCTGCTGTTTTAATGTGTTTCTCTCAGTAGCACCTGCTGCTTGCTCATGGTAGGCTTTTGTAAAGGGTTCTTGGTGCACTCTGGGATGAAAAATGCAATTGTTTTTCTAGGGGTGGCTGAAGATACCAGCAAGACCCAACTACAAAGTATGTTTCTGATACCCACTGCATGTTGATCAAATATGGCATTTGGCAATCTCTTAAATTTATGTATTTATTACCATCATTACCAAGATACCAAACTACTCTGGTAGGCTTTAATGACGTCGCTTTTAAGATTTATGCTTATTTGTAATAGGTTTATGTATGCCTATTGAGAAATGAGGCTAGTATTTATCTTCACTTCATCCCCGATATGTGCCACGTCTTGCAAGCCCAAGCAGGTGTTTTAACGAATAGCCTTCTTGCTTTCTGTCTGCTAATACACAACTTAGCTTTTTACTTAGCCAGCTTGGCAGTAAGTCAATGAGGCTTGAAAGTATATTTCTTTTAAATTTCAGCTTAGCAAAATAAGCGGTTTTGCAATAACTGACTTGTCAATCTTCCATTAAAAATAAAGCAAGAACAAAAATGGTACTTTGTTCTGCAGTGAAACAGGCTAATCAGCAACCACGTTTCCTGTGAGAACATGTTAAAACACAGAGATTTAAAAAACGCAAGCAGTGATATAAAACAGGCTTCATTTAGAAATGAACATTTTGTTCAGTAGGCAGTCTTTACTTCATTCATTTTATCAGACTAATCCATGTTACGGATTGTAAACCAGAAAATTGTTTTATGCGTAATACAATATATGAGTAAAATCACATTTATTTATAATAGGCTTCACAGGACACTCTGGAATTTATTCCCTGAGTATTTTTTTTTTCTTTTTAGGCAACAAGCGATCTGCAGAAAATTTGCTAGGCTGAGATTTTCATAACAGCTTGACTGCCTTCCTAAAGGAAGAGGTCGCCTGCCCCCCTGGAAACACTGGAGAAAAAACACCCCACTCTAGGTATTTCAGTTCAGAACTTTTCTACCATCACATACATTTGCATGCCAATGCACAGCATGTGAAGGTAAGGAGGTGAAGAGTTGTCCAATTTTTAACAGGTACTATTAATCATTCCTAATGTAATAGTTGCTTTTCCTGCAGTGGACACAGGGCAAGAGTGTGCTGCTTTTGCTATAAAAGAAGCTAAGATAAAATAGGATGGTACTTTGAGCTTTTTGAGCATTTTAAAGTATCAGATGTAAACCCATCTACATTATTTTTACAAAGAACAAATGCTAGGTAAACTTACCATCTCTAAGAGAGAAGGATAGAAGATCCTAAAAAGAAAAACAGTATATTCAAGTTAAAACTGATGACGTATGCCCAGAGGTCTCAAAATGGAGGCACGCAAACCCCTTGGACTATGATTTAATTACTGCAGCGTGTCAGTTCATAAACACGGGAAGCCAGCAAGCTACGATTCAGTAGAGCAGCACAGAGCAAAGCCAGATGTTTCCAGCACAAAATTCTCCATATGCAGGTACAAATGGCCGGACAGAAGTAGATAAGCGCAGGATAGGAGGGCAGCGCCTGCTTGGTATACACTGAAGCATCCCATATTTTTTGTTATTAGTGATCCTGTTGCAATTGAGAGCGCCACAATTACACCATACTTCAAAGTCTGGAGAAACAGGGCTCTAATCCTCCTACCACTCTAATGCCTTCTGCTCACATGACTATATATATGATTATATGACTATATATATGACTATATATAGTCATATATACTCATTGTCAACATGAGTAACAGGTTTGAATGCTGCTCTAATGGACTAGTGGCCCCTATTTTCTTTGGCGTTCTGGGAATTCATAGCTCTAGGCAGTTAAGGCTGAACTGGCATGAAGTTCTTTTGGATTAAGTACTCAAAAATAGAAAACTCAGAATTTACAGCCATTGGTCAAGATTGAGGGACTTCTGTGCTGGCTCTTCATCATAAAAAAAAAAAATCAGAAAAACAGATCAATCCAATAGATGGTTTCTGTGGACAAATCCATGAAAAAAGAGGTCAGTGTTTTTACTATGTTCTCCTCTTCTGTTGTCACTGGATAAGTTTTAAGTTCTTTATGTAACTACAACACTAAGCATTAGTTCAGTCTAGCTACTTCCCTCTCCTACACACAAATAAAGCACAGCTGAATTTTACAGGGAATCCTTCAGCCCTTTGGGAAGACAAAAAATGCAGCCAAAGACGTAGGATGCTGCCAAAGAGTTTATGATTATTAATCCCATAAGCTCCTAAGCAAAATTTGTATCGTAAAAACGTCTCTAATCTTTTCCCTACCGCATGAGAAGTGTAGAAGGGAGAGCAAGCCATCCTTAACCTATTCCTAGTAGAAGAGGGGCAAACTGAAGATATTATCCAGGCAAAAGTAAGTGCCTGGACTCTGAATATCATTTTAACATGAGAAGCATCTGCTAATTCACAAAGGAGAAGAGAGCTTTTGCACAGGACTAGGGAAACCAAAGGATTAGAGCAGCTGAACTCCCACCTATGGGTGCTTTTTCATAAGGTATAACCCCAAAACCTTCACTCCACTGCTGCCTAATGCTTTCACACACACATCTCTACTGCTGAATATCTGGGTGGCTGTTCCCACCCAGGGAGAAGCCGCCTTCTGCTTGCCTGTCCTGCAAATCCTAATGGGATAGGGATGATTTCCAGAAGGTATCTGTTGGGCTGGGCTCTGCACAAAGCAGTCATCGCTGCTCCTTCATCCTGCATCCCAATGGCCAGAGCGCTCACCCAAGAAAAGGAAGGTCCTGGTTTGCTATCTCCAATCTGTGAATAACCCTTTTCATTCAAGTTAGTGACTGAATCAGGTCTCCTCTGTTCCCCCAGTCACTATGTTGCAGAAAAAAAAAAGGCTTCTTTTTAGGTCCGGCCATGATTAGTATTCTGTGCGTGCACACACACTGCAGACCGTTCCCCGGGCTGGTTGGTGGGATGTGGGAACTGGAAGCATTAATCCCCACAGGCAGAGGGAGGAACGTAACTCGGGTTTCCCAGAGCCCGAGTACTCTAAGCACCCAAGTATTAGATGCATGGGTGCTGTCACCTCCTCCCTGGCCGCAGTTTTGTGAGGCAGTGTTGGCACAGAGGTGTCAAAGCCCAGCAGAAGGGCCAGGGCTGGGAGCCCCAAGCAGAAAGTCAACCAAGCAAGCAACCTGAAGTCTAGAATAAGGCGAAGCTTGTGACCTTGTTGCCATAATTTTCCAACAGGCTTGTGGCTTGTGCGGAGCCCATTTGCAGGCAATAAATTCTCCCTGTGTGTTGCAAAGGGAGCCGTGGGTCTCGACTCAGGTCCTGTACAATATGCCCAGTATCATCTGTGGCGCCTAATATCAAATAATCTCTTTTAAAAATATGGCCTAAGCGTTTATATACATGTATTTCAAAAGGTGAGGGATGGATACAGGTAATCAGTTGACAAACTGGAATATTTAAAATTACCTGGATACAGGCAATCAGTTGGCAAACTGGAACTACTGTTTTTATTGCATCTGTGCCAATTAGCATTCCCAGGTATTTCTAATTGGTTTAGGCTTTGCACGTACTGCTGTGCAGCCATCTGGAATCCAACCAGCAGTGATTAGATTAGTTCACAGGTTGGTTGTTTTCCTCCTCTAAGCAGCAGTTATTATATTTCAGTCTTATTTTGAAGTTGCTGTTTTGAATCCCCCTGTGAACGCTGCGCAGAAGACTACCACCCATATGATTGGGAAACCTTACAAAGAAAGGGAAGCGATTTTTATTCAGAGTCTTTGCCAGCTTTTTATGAATTGCTGCAAGTTCAAAACCCATTTCCTCAACAACGGAGAGCATCCAATCCACATCGCAGTGGACGTGTATAGAAAAGCACAGGAAAATGGGCATTCTTAGTATGTTCAGAGCAAAAAAAAATGATTCATAATAAGAACTTTCAACATTTTCTCACCTATCATCACTTTTTCACCTCTTTTCGTTGCACTGCCTTCTCATACTGCACCCACAGCCTGTGTGTTATGAAAACTGTCCTTAAAGGATTCAGTTAACCACCATTTGCCTGTATTAGTCATCTGCAATGAGTGCAAACAAAGATAAAAATCCATAATCCTCAAATTTTCATTGAATCAACGGTGAGCTCACCTCTAATCTCCTGACCTCACGTATCATCCCTTCAGCACCGCTGAGGTGGAGGGCATTCAAAAATGCAGGCACTAGTGCTGACAGGACCCTGCCGCTGAACACACTGGGCAATCAAAGTGTGCACTTGTTAAATAAACAGTAAGTGTTGCGTCAGTAGCAGCTGAGTACAAAGAAGCAAGAGCACCATAAAGCAACATATGAAGAACTCACAAAGCTTTGTCCTGTAGCTTGTTTATTTTCAGGTAAGAAGGAAAAAGCTGATCTCAGCTTGATACACTGACGTTTCCCACTTAGCCAGTATGCTTTCCCAAAGACGCCTTGCAAGCCTCTGCTGCCTTGCTCTATAAAAGTCTTTAACTTTCCTTTGACAAAATCAATCACCTTGCCCATATACATGACTGCATAAGGTACTGATGTTGTGGCACCAGACTGATAGCTATTCCTGATCTTTGCTTTCAACTAATCAAAGAATTGTTATCTACGGCTTCTTATTCTACCCAAATCCAGGCAATAAGTACCTCAACTCTCTGGCTCAGAGCAAAATACCGCGTGCTCCTACTGATCCAGAGCCACTTTCGTAAAAGCACAAGGAGCCCTTATGCAGCATAAGCTCAGAGCAAGCACAAGTTAAATTTCACCAAAATTTCACCCTTTATAAATGCAGCAGCAACTCAGGAAAACTTGCCTAATTCTAGAGAATCCATCCCGAAGCAGAGAGAACAAAGGAAGCAACCTGGGAAGCACCAGGCCATCTAGATGCAGAAAGAACTGTGTGGATTTATTGATTTTGAGCAAACATCATCAAAACAACTGCTTTTATTTTAGAAGATCTGCCCTAACTTATTAATTAAGCTTAAGCTTCTCTGTCACTGTACTTATACTGTTATAGGACTTTGGCCATTGTGACACTCGGATATTTGGAGCAGATCCTCCGAGGCCTTTTATAGACTGACTAGAAGACACGAAAGATGGCTGAGATATCAGGAGCTGATCATGACGACCAAGAAAGTTCACTCCTATCATATCTTTACTTACGCAGCCTTGTTCTCGCATCTGCTGTTCTCTCGGGCCATTGCTAAAGGTGAGTGTGTGATAACTATTACTCAATACCAGACTTCTGTCTGCACGCAGGATGCCTCGCTATTTCCTTGTGTGCAGTACACAGCGAAGGGCGTGAGGTGACAGTGGCCATGTTACGCCTGGCATCAGCAGCAGCCTCCCGTGCTCTTCGCCCTGCGCGGCGTAACGTGAGGCTGGACGAGGAGATATCTTCCCCAGGTGAGACTCTGCAGCAAAGGTGAACACCACCAAAATACTTCACCTCTTCTAACTTTAGGTCAGCTTTTACATCAGAACATTACGGAGTAGTGCCAGTCTCACTGCTACTTTCTCAGTAAAAGTAAATAAAGTCACAATAACTTATTTCCTTCTAGCCAAAGCCGACTCTGGGAAAAAGACTCTGGGAATTGTGCTATTTGGAGCATGTATGTAGAGGTGTTTTGTATTACAGGTATAGTGAAGGCGCTTTGAAACAAAGGAAAATCAGGCCTATCAGGTTCAGTGTTTCACCAAAATCTGTAGAACGCACATACGAATCAAAACCACTGCAATAATACAGTCAAAGTTTGACAGTTCTCTGTTCTGTAGAGTGAAAGCACCAGACACAAAATGTTAATTCAACAGACAGCAGCCGTGCCTCAAGTTCATCACTTCCACGAGCTGTTAATGGATAGAGATACTGCCAGTCACCCACACAGCTGCTCAGAAATATATGCATATCAGAAATCCTGATTTTACTTCCTTGACTGCACAAACAGAACATCAGTTGCAAACAGACACGTATGAAAAATCTCTTTTGCAAAAGCAAACAAGGGCGAGAGGAGCAGATGAACTTACTTGGATAATGACAACTGGATTTTCTTTCAAGATGGGATCCTTCAGCAAAATCTGGGCAAAAGTTTCTGTGCCCTCACCTCCTAAGCCGCAAGCAAATGCTGTCATGGCAGGTAAGACAGCTTCAGGCAGGTCCAGCCATTTCACAAAGCCCTCAATGAATTCTGTCCTGAAGGAGCTGTAAGGCAACAGTAGCAGTTAAGGCTCCGTAACCACGGATTTTTGCAAACTTTGAGGGGTCCCTGCTTTCAAATGTTGGTCAGTCGCTGTTCACACAAAAATCAAAGCTTCGTAAGAAGTCAGCAGAAGGCAAGTTGCTACACAAGCTGGCTAAACAAACAAGCAAGCAATCTGAATGGAGCCAGACCTTTCTTCAATGCATGCTTTGAAATCTGCAGTATTAAGGAATGCAATCTGTGCTGAAGTATAAAAGTCTTACAGGTGTAAGAGAGAAAGTCAATACAATTAAGAAAACACCTAATGTCAAAAGGATCTTCCACTCCCCTGACTTCAGAAGACCCCACGCAGAGGCTGATACCAGCTCCATCGGAGCTGCTACCCCAAAGCCACCTCCTTTGCTCACCCCTTCCTACCCCATGTAGTACCTTTGCTCTTTTTCAGGGAACAGCCGTGCTAGCGATATCCCACAAAGCGCCGCATAAGCAAATCTTCCCGGTTCACCCAGGCGCTGGCCCAGAAGCACACACGGTTCTTTTTCACCTGCCTCTTCAGCCCCACTACGCTGTTTTGAAGCCCAACCTTTCCACTTCTTTTCTGCAGCCATTTTTACCTGCAAGTTCAAAGAGGAAGAAGCAGAAGAAAAAAAAAAAAAAAAAACCAAACAGTTGGAAACCAGGAAGCAAGGAGACAAATCGCCTTTGCTTTTTCACTGTCACGCTTGCTGTCGGTATTGTCAAGTCTGTCAAGGTCCAGCTTGTGTATCCCCCCACAACATGGTGCTGTGACTAAAGAAGACAAGACGACACTTTCTGTTCACCAGTTCTCAAAAGTTTTGCACAAAATGAGCCAACAATACTTCACAGAGCAAAAGGAAAAGTCCCCTTCAAGGTGCAAAGAGGCTGGGCTCCGTTCAGGCATACCATTCACATGTTTACCGCAAAAATAACATGTAAAATAAAAGCTTTGCACCAGGTGCAGGGACCAGTACAGCTGGGAAATAATTTGCCTCTCTCATCCTCAACCCAAATTGCTCCTCTGTTTATTTTGCTGACAGCATTAAGAAAGTCGAGTCCGGCTGCAGCCTCTGATGAGAAGAACTTTTAACGTGTCCCATGGACATTGCTATGCTTTGCTTGTAACATTCTCTCCTCTATACAACCTGCCACTGCTTTTTCCCTAAACATGAGATCCCTGCACCACACGGACCTTGAGCCATGTAAATAATAAAAAAATATTATTTTTTCAGAGCACAGATGGGCATGCTTCCAACTAAATGGCTTACAACTGCTCCCCGGGAGCTCCCCTGATTGCACACATGGCCAACCGAGATGACTGAAATCAGGCAGACGTGATGACAGCTCATTTCACAATTCCACGTGGGTAACAATCTGCTCCAAAGCTCGCTTACGTCACCTGAAATTTCTACTGACTTCATCAAGATTCAATCAGTTTCTAAAGGGCCCAAACCACCTATTTCATTATATACTTCCTATTTAAATGTCTCCTTTCTTCTGAACCCTGTAGAAAGGAAAGTGGTGAAATAGGAATCAGGAGCCCATACTGAGCCAAGTACTGAACCTCAGAGGACGCACACACCATTTATAGGATAATTTTAGAGTCCCAGAAGAAAGAAATGCAGCACGGGAGCAGCTCTTTTTAAAGAGATTTTATTATCTGCATGCCGTCTGCCACGGTCTTCCAGGAAAGGTGTCTGTTTTGCCTTCCCGCTCAGAAATTTACTCGAGGCGATTCATATTTCTCAAGGCTTGCACTATTTAATTTATTTATACACTGCTGATGTATAAACACAAGGGAAATTCATCGCTCAAGGGCCGACGGTTATCGTAACTCACACCTCTCTCCCTGGGAGAGCTTGGCCCCCCTGCAACACATCTCTCCTGTTGCCGTCCATTTGAGCACAGGGGTCTAAAGCATCTCGGTGCATTTCCACAGAAACATCACATTCCAGCAACATGGGAGCACAAAGTCCGCAGGAATAAATAAACTTCGTTATTTCCATACCAACCGGAGAAGGGAAGGGCCAGATTACACTTCCCCGGGGAGAGCGGGTGCCTGGGATTGATCCCGGCCCCGGCGGGCCCGCTCCGGTACCAACCTCAACACGCAGCAGCATTTACGCTGAATTGCAGCTCTGAAGGTGGCCGGAGACGTGCCTCTGTGCTTTCCAGAACTTTCTTACAAAATCCCAAGATTGTTTTATTACTTCAGGAGCTCCAAAGCCCTTGTTTGGACCCCCAAAATCCATTTCACATCACTCGCTAGGCTCTGGTCTTCCTAAAACATCCAGACTTAGGGAACAATTTGCCCAGAAAGAATCTAATGCTTAAAGATTCAATAACTTTACAAACAATTACTTGGCATGTCTACTCACCTCTGGACACAGATTTGTTAGCTTATTATGGGAGACAGCATTGAAAATAAAATCCCCTTCCCTGCTGTGATAGATTTATTGATTTGTTAACACAGGCCCATAGGAAAAGTGAAGCAGCTAAAAAGGATCCAGAAACAGTACAACTGTTTAACCTTCTTTCCCAATAACCTAAAAGATGCGACCAATTATGGAGTGACACCATAGTGGCTTCTTGCATGCAACTTTATTGCCATTATGCAACAAATAATTAACGATGCTGAGCATCTGGAATACCCAGAGAAAGCATCCGAAAGACTTTGCTCTGACGGTGCTCTGATCAGTACACTCGATGTGCATCCCTCAGCATAAATATCTACTTCCTCATAAATATCTAGGAAAAAATGGGCTTGGATTTTCAGACACGCAGCATAAAAAAATGGTAACATGCGATTTAGTAAACTTGGGCCAAGAAGTTTTGCCACTAAATCCAAGATGAGGGAATTGAGAGCTAGAAACATATCCAGAAAGTTATTTACGGCTTGTGGCACTGGAATAAACGTCTCTGTCTTAAACGATGTGATTCAGCAATCAATAGCATTGCCGTCATCTGAACCACCACTTGAAAGAGAACTTTTTTATCACTTCCAGTGCTTACTTTTCACACAAAGACCTTTATTTTCTTGGAGGTTGTAGTGAGGTGGGTGTTGGTCTCTTCTCCCAAATGGTTAGCGATAGGACGAGAGGAAATGGGCTCAAGCTGCGCCAGGGGAGGTTTAGGTTGGATATTAGGAAAAATTTCTTTACGGAAAGGGTGGTCAAGAATTGGAACAGGCTGCCCAGAGAGGCGGTGGAGTCCCCATCCCTGAAGTGTTCAAAAAACGGGCAGAGGTGGCACTTTGGGACATGGTTTAGTCTAGTCTACCCTTGATTGGCTTAGAGTAGACTTGGTAGTGTGGGTTAATGGTTGGACTGGATGATGTTAAAGGTCTTTTCCAACCTAAACGATTCTATGATTCTATTTTATGCAGCGGTTCCCAAAATCCTGTTTGTAAAGCAGAAAGATAATCCTTTTGTGGATCTAAAGCTGTACAATACATGGGTGCTCCCTACTGCTGGAAGAATTACAGAGCCGCTGGCATCGTGTTCATCCTAAATTATGACAAGAGTGACCAAATCACTGACACATCAGTCTCCGAGCCCCTCAAAAGTTAATGAGGCATCTCGTCAGCTTCAGAGACGTAGCAGTAGATAATTATTCAGATGGGGCTGGCCAAAAAGTCCCTCAGCGAGGCACAGGGGAGGGCGGCACGGCCGAACTGCGGTTAAGCGTCGGACACCATGGCTGCGGAAACATTTGGGCAGATGAGTTTTCCTGGGGAGTCGTGCAGGGCTCCGGAGCCACCCGTGTTTACGCGCTGGGAGCACCACAGCCTCCGCTTTTAATCCGTAGATACGAAGTATGAACAGAGAACGCAATTAATTCAGTCCCGGATAAAATGGCATCTTGCCACAAAAAGATGCGAATGCGATAGCAGGTGGCAGAAACGCATGCTAAATGTAAAAGAGGGATGAGGGATGGAGGGGACGGGGACATGGAAAAGCTGAAAGCTTAAGTAGTTGCAGAACCGAGGGCGTTTGATCCGGCTGATCCCGATGCTTGCAGCAGGACACAGGAGGTGGGAGAAGCTCGGGGAGGGACGGGGCCAGCA